AAGAAGTTCTAAATGGATATCTCTCAAATTTAATACTTATGTTCCCTTTCATCTCTCCTTGTGTCTATTTGATTTTGGGACTGATCAGAAGAAAAAATATTACTTTCTGGTGGCCATTTTGGATTTGACAGGTAAAGATTATCATAACAATTTCTAGAAATGTATGTTCAAATGTCATGTCATAAGAGCAAAAACAGAGAAGAGAAAAGAAGGGAAGAGATCCATCTTCCAAAGAGCAAATAAAGATCAAACAATGGTGGGTGCCAGAATCCCTCTGGGATCTCTTGTTTGGAAACTGAACTGTTACTTTTTAGGTCATCTGACCCGAAGGGTCCGATGACCTATAGTCATCATGCTTCGTCCGTCGTCGTGCGCCGTCCGTAAACTTTTCATTCAAACGACTTCTTCTCAAATACTAGAAGGTCTAGGGGGCTAATACTTGGCACAGAGGATACTGGCATGGAGCTCTACCAAGTTTGTTCAAATGAATGACCTTGACCCACTTTAAAGGTCACAGGGGTCAAATATGTTAAAATCTTTAAACAACTTCTTCTCATTAACCAAAAGGCTCAGAGTGTAGATATTGGGCCTGTGACATGCTGGGATGAAGGACTACCAAGTTTGTTCAAATGAATGACCTTGACCCACTTTAAAGGTCACAGGGGTCAAATATGTTAAAATCTTTAAACAACTTCTTCTCAATAACCAAAAGGCTCAGATTGCTGATATTGTGCCTGTGGCATGCTGGGATGAAGGGCTATCAAGTTTGTTTAAATGAATGACCTTGAACAACTTTCAAGGTCACAGGGGTCAAATATGTCAAAATCTTTAAATAACTTCTTCTCAAATACTAGAAGGCCTAGGGGGCTAATACTTGGCCCATAGCATGCTGGCATGGAGCCCTACAAAGTTTGTTCAAATGAATGACCTTGGCCCACTTTCAAGGTCACAGGGGTCAAATATGTTAAAATATACAAAGGACTTCATCTCAATAAGCAAAAGTCTATGAGTGCCGATATTGGGTCTGTAGCATGCTGGGAGGAAAGGCTACCAAGTTTATTTAAATGAATGACCTCGAACAACTTTCAAGGTCGCAGGGGTCAAATATGTCAAAATCTTTAAATAACTTCTTCTCAAATACTAGAAGGCCTAGGGGGCTAATACTTGGCCCATAGCATGCTGGCATGGAGCCCTACAAAGTTTGTTCAAATGAATGACCTTGGCCCACTTTCAAGGTCACAGGGGTCAAATATGTTAAAATATACAAAGGACTTCATCTCAATAAGCAAAAGTCTATGAGTGCCGATATTGGGTCTGTAGCATGCTGGGAGGAAAGGCTACCAAGTTTATTCAAATGAATGACCTCAACCCACTTTCAAGGTCACAGGGGTCAAATATGTTAAAATATACAAACGACTTCTTCTCAACAAGCAAAAGTCCATGAGTGCTGATATTGGGCCTGTAAGATGCTTGGAGGAGAGGCTACCAAGTTTGTTCAAATGAATGACCTCAACCCACTTTCTAGGTTTGGCTTGCTTTTTGTCAGATGACCGTTAAGGAATCGAACACCTAGCCGACCGGGGTTCAACCCACTTTCCCCGGGTAGGTTTGGCCCCTCGCGCGCTTACATCCGCCAACAAGAGTGATTAGTATAAGTTTAAATAACTTGTTTCGCAATTGTTGTAAAACAAATAAAGTTTATATTATTATTACCGTTAAGGCCCATGGGCCTCTTGTTTTTATTTAAAAACTGGTCTGTCACTTGTGAGTGGAAGTAAGATACAAACCTACCAACAGATGCTAGAATCAATTGACCCCATTTCTATTAATATAACGATGTCAAACCTTAGATATGAGAAAGGATTGATGAATACACAGGGATAATACCCACAGCAAATATACACAAAGCAAGCTACAATAGAATGCTAAACAACTGTTTCATTTCATTTGAACAACACAAGTAATAATGAAACAACAAATTTCATTTCATTTGAACAACACAAGTAATAATGAAACAACAAAGCATTAATCCAACCAAACTACCATTAAGTTAAGCCTAAGCAAGTAAGACTTCTCAGAATATTTCAAGATATAATTCATAAAAAATGCTTATAAACCCGACAGTATACAGGTACAATGAAACGCGGCAAGATAATCTCAACCAAGTAAATATTATATACATGTACAAAATCTAATATGCATGTTGTATTTCATAGCCAATATTTAAGAATATATATGTATAAAGTATTAAGACATTCGTTTCTTTACCAAAAACAATACTATGATCAGTATTTATAACAGAGATAGTGAGCAAGGACAAATTAAATAGGAATGCTAAAATCCATATTCAATATCAGTCTCTCTAGTGATATCATATCATGGATTAGAGTTACAAAATTACTTACATGAGGAATACTTGATTATTACATTGTCTGATTCTCCAACTGAACTCTAATAAAAATAATAAAATATTTATATTATATATTTATGTAAATAAATATGTATATATAGCATCTCATCCGAGTTTCCATTTGACATGTGATTTACGAAATAGGTCAAAATTTTTTTATTTCTGCGAGCATTTGATGTGAAAGAAATGAAAAGTTAGTGATGTTTCATAAATAGGTTACTAAATGGAAACAAATTTAAAATCCTTTTTATTGCATGATTAATTATTCAGATAAATATTGTAGAAAACAGATCTTTCCACATCATTTTGACTGTTACGTCACAATGTAACCTGTGTGCAAATCCGGGTTATAGTATGGTGAATGTTAGGTGGACGGGCGGGCGGGTAAAAGGGGTACCAGTTTTGTAGAATCAACTTCTACAGTTTTTGACGTAGAAGCTTGAAACTTTGTAGGATGTTTACATATATGTTGAAGATGTGCACCTCCTATCATGGATTCATTCCGGATGTTTTTTCTTGATACTCAACAAATGAAACACCCTTAACTGTCTTATAAATACCATAAAACATTGCACTTATCCCGCAACCCAGCCAATTTTGGCTTTGCCCCATTTTCTACATCTGATGTCCAATAGGCTACATTTCACATGTAATACACTAAAATATGACAAGGTCACATTCAATAACAAGGCAACCAAGTGATGAAACATATTGATAACTTGTAGAACAGAATTGTTTTTCTCTATTTACTTCCAAATTGCCTGTTTATCTTGAGCCATGAAAACAAAGCAAACATAACTTGATGGTAAACATGCACTATGTGGTCAGATCATTAGATGTATTTATCAGGCACTCTGAAAACATGATTATACAAATCTGACATATATAACCACAGGGACTTGGCACCAATTTCCAACCCTCGGTCCCTATACATATGTAGATATATACCTGTATATATAAAAATATAGATATATATATATGAACCTCAGGATGGGAATTCATGCCACATCCATGTGTGTGTAACATGCTAAAACAAAACTTAATCACCACAACCTTTAATATTTTGACTATGCCTGACTGCCATTATCAATTCTGAATCAACAATTTTCTATACATTATTGATACTGAACAAACTTGTGTCTACACTGTCATCAAAAGTTAAAAGTTTCACCAACATCATTTCTGAACTCTTTAGATCATAAGCATTTTGTTTTATCTTTATGGCATGATACCTTTCTGTTTAATTAAATGATTTTTTTACTTTAAGTACTTTTGTGCTCTATTTTAGAACTTTTACATTACTTCTTTAATACACATATTTATAACTCATTTCTAATGATGTACATGTAGGTATCTGAATTGTCCCAATTAGCATTACAGGTAGTCCAGTGATATAGTTCATGTACTCATCCAAACATGTATAACAGGTACCCAAATGAAGTAAGTAATGGACTTGTCTGAACATGCATTAAGGTACCCACTTGACGTATCTTTTGATTTGTTCGACATTTGTAACCATTTGTGCTAAAAGTAATGAAAGCAGTGTATGAATACATAAATATCTCCTTGTGACATATGTAATTAATGTCCGACAGAATTGTATGCATTTGAAAAAAGTAATGGACTCTTTGTCCAACATATTACTGATATGCATGTGTGACATGGTAATGGACTCATGGCCTAATACTACTGGTCTGTGTGTGATGTAGGTAATGAACTATTTGTCTAACACATTACTGGTATGCATGGGCAACATAGGTAATGGATTCATTGCCCTGACATACACTAGCCTGTGCTAGGAGATTAATGGCTGACAAGTCCTCACTGTTGAGCTGTTCAGCCCCAGAGCTACACTCCACCTCATACTGAACTGCAGGGTAGCCATACACCACAGCCGCCTGCTGTTCATCATCCTGACTAGTGGTCTCAATCGTGTAGTAAGTGTTCTCCACCGGAGCACCTGTGTCTGTGTAATGCATGTGTGAGTTGGAGTACAGTGTGACTGGTGCTAAATTGTCTGTTGTGACATTTCCAGCAGCCACAATATGTGTAGCCTGATAAGTTTCCAAGGCTTCAGGAGATGGCCTGGTTACATCTGAACTGCTAACATGGCGCACCACTGTGGAACCAATGTTTTGTACATCTGACTGATCCAAGGTTTGAAGATCTGCATGTTGGATATCTTGGATGTCTGAGGAATCAACCACTATTGTTGCAGACTCGGGTAGTTGCTGTACATGTCTCTGTACCACTGAAGGACCAATGTGCTCAACATGAACCACTTCTTCCCTAGGTTCCGCCTTTAATGAGGATTCACGTTTCTTTGTGACCTTTCGGACACCTGAAAGTCCTTGATGTTGGGCCAAGTGAGATGTCAGATATTCTTTCCTGAAGAAACTTTTCCCACACACTCCACAGAGATGGTACTTGATGTTCATGTGGAAGGACATCGTGTGTCGCCTCAAGCTTCCTATAATGGAAACTTCACATCAAAACAAGAACGTACCAACCTAACTTGGAGAGAACTGTCCCAGTAAATGTACAGTACAGAAACAAGACTGCCTAATGTATAGATAAAGACAATTGTTAAACACGTTATACATTGATTTTAGAAACGATACTGTAAACAATACAGGTTATCTCTCCACTATGTTGCCATCAGAACAGACTAACCTGTTTTATCATTCAAGTCCTTGATTAATGTGTACTAGACTGAGACAGTCGGTGTTTAATTTTCTAATAAATGTACTTTACAACATACAATAGTATACAATGAAACTAATATTAGGGTAAAACTCACTTGCAGTGGTAAAGAACTTGCTACATGCATCACACTTGTAGACTGGAGGAGTGCTGGGATGTTTAAATTCCATATGCCTGTCATATCGGTTCTGGCTAGCAAACACCCTGTCACAAATCTTGCAAACTATTTTAACACAACCACCTTTTTCATGGATTTTGATATGTGCTTTAAGGCTGCCAATCAATGTAAACTTCTTTCCACAGAGATTGCACCTGAAACAGGAAACACAAAGCCACATAAGTAACATATATAAAAGTAAGGTGACTGATAGTCCCACTGATATACCTGTTTCTTTTGTTGTATTTACAAAGTTAATGTGACTGATAGTCCCACTGATATACCTGTTTCTTTTGTTGTATTTACAAAGTGAATGTGACTGATAGTCCCACTGATATACCTGTTTCTTTTGTTGTATTTACAAAGTGAATGTGACTGATAGTCCCACTGATATACCTGTTTCTTTTGTTGTATTTACAAAGTTAACTTATTATTATGTATCTTCTCATCCTGCACATGTCCTGTAGTTGCCAGAATTCAATACTGACTCATCCTTACAGATGGAGAGTTACTCTGTTAATATTTTATGGCTCTACATGTGTGGTAACCATGCCTTCATATTGACTCCCATGACTCTACATGCTTTAATATTGAGTCACCTTTAGAGACATTTACTCTCGAGTGTTTCTACATGTGTAGATGGCAGGGCATTATATTGTCTCACCCTTGTACAGATAGGGGGTTGCTCCTGTCTCTCTCTCTACATGTGTAGTTGCCAGGACTTGACACTGATAGGGATTTACTTCTATGTGTTTCTATGGTTAGATTGTTGGACTTGATACTAGGGTTAACTTACAGATATAGAGCTTTACCTGTGTGTAGACACCAGGACTTGATACTGAGGTTAACTTACAGATATGGAGTTATACCTGTGTGTAGACACCAGGACTTGATACTGAGGTTTATTTACAGATATGGAGTTATACCTGTGTGTAGACACCAGGACTTGATACTGAGGTTAACTTACAGATATGGAGTTATACCTGTGTGTAGACACCAGGACTTGATACTGAGGTTTACTTACAGATATGGAGTTATACCTGTGTGTAGAAACCAGGACTTGATACTGAGGATTACTTACTAATATGGGGTTTTACCTGTGTGTAGACACCAGGACTTGATACTGCGGTTTACTTACAGATATGGAGTTATACCTGTGTGTAGAAACCAGGACTTGATACTGAGGATTACTTACAAATATGGGGTTTTACCTGTGTGTAGACACCAGGACTTGATACTGAGGTTTACTTACAGATATGGAGTTATACCTGTGTGTAGACACCAGGACTTGATACTGAGGTTTACTTACAGATATGGAGTTATACCTGTGTGTAGAAACCAGGACTTGATACTGAGGTTTACTTACAGATATGGAGTTATACCTGTGTGTAGACACCAGGACTTGATACTGAGGTTTACTTACAGATATGGAGTTATACCTGTGTGTAGACACCAGGACTTGATACTGAGGTTTACTTACAGATATGGAGTTATACCTGTGTGTAGACACCAGGACTTGATACTGAGGTTAACTTACAGATATGGAGTTATACCTGTGTGTAGACACCAGGACTTGATACTGAGGTTTACTTACAGATATGGAGTTATACCTGTGTGTAGACACCAGGACTTGATACTGAGGTTAACTTACAGATATGGAGTTATACCTGTGTGTAGACACCAGGACTTGATACTGCGGTTTACTTACAGATATGGAGTTATACCTGTGTGTAGAAACCAGGACTTGATACTGAGGTTTACTTACAGATATGGAGTTATACCTGTGTGTAGACACCAGGACTTGATACTGAGGTTTACTTACAGATATGGAGTTATACCTGTGTGTAGACACCAGGACTTGATACTGAGGTTTACTTACAGATATGGAGTTATACCTGTGTGTAGACACCAGGACTTGATACTGAGGTTAACTTACAGATATGGAGTTATACCTGTGTGTAGACACCAGGACTTGATACTGCGGTTTACTTACACATATGGAGTTATACCTGTGTGTAGACACCAGGACTTGATACTGAGGTTTACTTACAGATATGGAGTTACGCCCGTGTGTTTCCGCATGTGCATCCGTCTGGATTTGATATTGGTGAATTGCTTGTTACACACATCACATTGGAACGGCTTCTGACCATTGTGTTTTGCCATGTGAACTGTCAATCAGAGACAAGGAATAATCCAAATTATTTGACCACGAGGTAATCTACATATCTTAATATTTCAAAAATAATAGTATTCTTATCAAAAGTAAACTTTCTATAATTTAGACTCCATCCTTCTGGTTCCAGGGATGTTTCTGTTGTGAAATGTCTTTTGATAGAACCCTGTTTTACAGGGATGTTAAACTTTCTTTAAAAAAATTTAACCTAAAAAAATTTCATACAAAAACTGGAGATTTCTCAGTACAAAACACTTTTCCTTTTGATGTTGTTAAACTACAAAAACTGTAAGGCATGAATGTAAGTGCACAATAATAACACTGTTTGGACAAATCTTCAGAAATAATAATGAAGACATTGAAAGAAATGAATTACGTGATATGGACACACTGCATTAAGTGTTCTGATGAGGAAATGACATTCTATTTAGAAATATTTTCAGGGCAAAAACACATGTGAGCAGCTTTGAAGTGTGTAGGAAATATAAATCTTGTGTTCGGCATTACAGTTACAACATCTTCCATCAATTTGACTCATGTTCTGTTCGTCTTTTTATAAGTATTTTAACACATAACAATAACAAGAACCTGACTGATTTGAAGAAGCACTATTTATCCTTACTTTTAAACTTGACGTTTCCACGGATAACTTGATTACATATGTTACAGGTGAACAAGCATGACGTCTTCTTTTTCTTGCCATCCCCAGTCTCCTCATCTATAACATAATATAAATATGACTTACATTTCTCATATATCAAATCTAATCATTTTACACATATTTTTTATCAAAGTAATTTTTTTCATTTTCAAACAAATTTATTGATAAAATCATTTATTAAGATTCAACTATATGCATTGGTATGAATTTTTTACACAAAACCGAAAATTTTATCTACTCTTAGATATTCACTCTAATCAAAATCAAAGACTGAATTCTTCTTTTTTCTGGTAGTCAGTCCTATGAAAACCTAGCATGTATGTACCAAAGAAGTTGTTTCCAATACCTGCCATTGGCTTTGTTGAATCTTGTGGGTTGACACTGGTGCTTGGTAATTGAGAGTGACCACTTGTAGCACTTGCTGCAGTCTTCTTGCCTGTTTGCTTTGATGCCTTTGTTGTGTCAGCTTTAAGTGGTGTGACACTGACCTTCTGTGATGAGTCTACCCCCTGTATAATAGACTGAACAGCAGCTTCAGTTAGAGGATCAGATACTAGAGCCAGGGCATTAGCCAGCTGAACTAACCCTCCTTCTCCAAGATCAGATAACTGAGATTTCTTTTTCATAACACCTTCTTTTTCAGATAATAACAATTCTTCTTTGTTGGCTTTATTGCTGTTTTCTGTTTCCTCTGTTATGTGTACAGTAATTTCTGACTCGGCCTCCGCTGGATTCCTTGTCGTTGATACAACATAGACCTTATTAGAATTGTTACTTACATAGTTGTTTAGTCCTACCTCAGTGTCTGCTCCATCACTCACACTACTTTCTGTTTTATCCATGGTCTTATCTGTGACCTGCTCCTCTGACTGATTGTTGGCAGTGTTGCCTGATGGTTCCTCACAATCAAACACATCCATATCCAGCCCAATCTGCACAGTCAACTCATTATTTTCTTCTAATTCATCCTGGGTTGATTGAGCCACAGACTGGTCTTCATATTTCTCGAAAAATGCTTTTTCATCGTTCTGAAAGAGATCATAGAAATTTCACTTTAGCAAGGATACGAAAGTTTATTATATATGCACCTGGTCATAGTCTTAATTTGATATCATTGACAACAGGAGTATGCTGATTTAATTCAGAAGTAAGTCCCTAGTTTAACAGGGACTAAGGGATTAACTTTCTTCACTTCTTTGAACAATATTTTATATTTATTATAGTTTTGAATTACATGGTATGAGATTTGATCTCTTCCTTTCTATAAACAAGAGGCCCAGTGGGCCTGCATTTCTCACCTGGTATTCAATGTTCAGCACAAATAAAATTGGTGTTCGTGTCACAAATACATTGATATATACACCATTGGCATTCAAAGTGGGAACATCCATCAATTTTAACCAATTTCCTCAAGAAAAAGCTTCTAATACTCAACTCTAAACAGTGAGTTATTTTACGTAAATATCATTTCTTTTTTCTCTCAAAATTTGTTGGGCTTTGACCTAGAAACATCTTTTCACCAAATATCATGCTTCTGGGACATTTGGTTTCCTAGGTGAAATCTTTAATAGATTTAAACAAAAAACCCAAAGAAGTCATTTAAATGATCTTGAATACAGGTCCAGGTTATTTCTTTTAAAAAGTTTGTCGGCCTTCAACCTAGGAACCTATTTCCTAAATATCCTGCTTCTGTGCCTTTTACTTCGTTAGAAAAAGTTGTTTTAATGTTTTAACAAATTTGGTCCTTATGACCTTGAATAAGGGTCAAAGTTGTTCACAATTTATCCAAGGAAACTATCAGCAGAATGCAGTGCTTCTGTGTCTTTTATTTAGTCAAAAGAACTTGTTTAAATGTTTCAAAAAATTTGACTCCTTTGACATTGAACATGGGTCAAGGTAATTTCTCTTTGCAAAATTTGTCGGGTTTCATACCAGCAACCCATCAGCCAAATGTCATGACATTTGGTCAACTGGTTATTGGGAAAAAGTTGTTTAAATGAAAAAGGTAACAATGGATGCCATGCCACAGCATATGCTCATTTCACTTGGCCTTTCCAGCCAGGTAAGCTGACAATATTTTTGTACAATTCTGAATAACATTGTAAGGGATTGGTTTTATTCTTTTTGTACAAACAATATTTTTGTACAGTAGTGCACCATATTGTAAGGAATTACATTTCTTCTCAATAATGTATGTATACTTACAAAATACTCAATGAATTCCAATCTCTTCTTTTCTATGTGGCTGGGTTTTGTTACAGGACATTCCTGAGCCGTAGACCCCAGAGAGTTCAGGTAGTGAAATACGTCTGTGGATAGTCCATGCCATATATACTTCTGACTGACAGCTCCACATAGCTCTTCATAGCTAGGAAGTGTGCTGCCTGTTAAATAGCCATATAAGTTTTTTTTACTTGTTATCAGATACATTTTTATATGGGTTGCTTTACGAATCACCTATTGTTCTGACAGAAGTAGGATATATAATACAGTAGACATCTAAATATGGTGTATAATTAACGCTACACTAAAAGTACAATATCATAACCTCTTTCTACATGTATATATATATAAAACCCTTCTAAAAGTAAAGCTTTGAAAAATTCATTTCAGAGTGGGGAAGGCATTTTTAAGATTAGCTATAGGAATCTGGTTCAATTGAGTCCATGAAGAATATCTATTGTTAAAGGCCTAAAAAGTTTTTGATATTTTCCTACACCAGTTAGCTGCTTAAGCAGGTTACTGTGTTGCCATTACATACCTGTACTTTGGTGAGCAGACTTAATGGCCATTTTTCGTGCTCTGCTAGCTATTTCCACACACATACTTGATGATTTGTCCATCAAATAAAGAACCCCTTTGACAAGCTTAAAGTGGTCAGCTATCTTTTCAACTGCAATTTTATCATTATCTGTGGTTGAGGGTGGGAACTTTGACTTCTGAAGATACTGTATAAGCAAGGCATAGTGTTTCTCTGCAACATCAGCCATTTTCTCCTACAATAAACAAACAATAATCAATTACTTTTTTTCACAGCTGAAACGAGAATTAATAACCAGAAAAATTGAACATAATCTGTAATTAGAGAAAGATCGTTGCATTTGCAAGGTTTAAACTTCTGTTCTAAGAATCATAGTATGTGCCAGCTTTTATGAAACTAAGTCCAACATTTGCAAACCGTATTTAGATGTATTTCTGTTGACAGCTTACAATGTCTTCATAAACCAAGAATTAACAGCAAATGCAAAAGCATTTGAAGTGCACACTGTTTTGTCTATAACAATGCTTACACTTAAGGTTTATCACTGGTTTACAATAAATGTGGTGATCTATGAACGAAATTTCACCTCTTTTACTGGTTAGTAACACAATAGGCATTGCATTCTCATAATACTAAAGTAATCAGTGGTAAATGACCCCACCACCACTGAATTGTAATGGTGCTAGAGTGAGATTCTCAAATCATGATCTGTACAACTTCTTCATAGTGTGGAACTTATTTCTCACACTTCGATGTACAACATTTCAGAGTGTTAAACTTACATATCTCCGAATTCGAGCCATTGTGGGTGCATCTGTCAAATTTGTTTTTTTCTCGGAACGTTTCTGATCACATGTAGGACAAGCAGCCACAAATGCCTGACAATCAGCCATTATACTTCTCCAGTAGTACTGAGATAACTTTCTCTCCACATGTCGTACAGGCATGTGATTACCTGTCAAACATATCACAATGACATTCAATCCAAATCACAGATTTCTCAGTCTTATTAAAATATGTAATACATCACATGTTTATATGAGGGATAAATACTTAAATTCAATCTCACTTTTTTAATTCTGGTCTAAAGAAGTACTGTTGATTGGCTATAAAATAGATATAAAACAGTGGAATAGAGTTGGTGTTGAGAAATATTTCAATGACAACATTATTGCAGAAGTGAAGTTTCTAAAATCATCAGAAAATGGGTGGTAAAGTGTCATGATTTACCAAGTTTAGAGGGGTAGGTATACCTTCAGAGTTACTTGTTTTAACTATAACCAGATATTAGGAGACAAGGATTTGTAGACTTACCAGGTCTAGAGGTGTAGGTATATGTTCAATGTTAATAACCATCAATAAAGAGAGCTAGGATACCAAAAATCAAAGACTTGCCAGATCTAAAGAGGTAGGTATACCTTCAGAGTCTATGTGTGCTGCCTGCAGGAGTTCCAGTCTGCCCTTTAGTGTGGTGATGACCTCTCTTTTAATAGAAGATCCCACTTTGTACATGAGCTTTCCATCATCTACAGAGTAGTGATTGTGGGCTTTCCTGACAGCTCGCTTCAGGTGTTCACTACTTCCTGCAGGGTAGGTTTTTTTTTCCAAGTACATCAAAATGCTTCTATAAAACACATCTAAAGAAACCTGAAAAGAAAACTTCACATTTCACTATAGAGTGTCTCTGTAGAAATCTGATGTACAGTAAAACATTAAACTTGTCACATAGTGAAATACAAGTCTACAAAACAAACACTGATACAGTCTAACTCGGGCAATAAGTCTTCAGTATATCCCATCTGTAATAGGTTTGTTACCTGGTGTAAAAAGGGTGGTAAATGCCCAAAGGATGTGATGTATGTTTCACTTTTAAGGACTTTGTGATCCACTGTTTTCGATTAATTGAACAATTGGTCTACATGTTCCCCATATGAATATAGACTCATCTGTTATCCATAAAAGTGTACATGGCTGGTTCTTCTGGATATACTATATTTTGTCAAACTACATTTCATGCTGAATTCTAAATTTTTGAAGAAATGAATATTCAACTTATGTTTCAATTTGCATTAATGGAAATGCAAGGCAGATTTATTCATGCTTAGTTTGATTGGACTGAAGACTATTAAGAGGAATATATGAACAAGCGATTTATTTAACGTTTACGTAAAGCTTCTGTAATTTGATCTCGTTACAAGGACCCTGAAATTCAAGTAGTCTGGACTGAGTCTCACAACACATATATGGATCTAGAGTCTAGCGTAAATGCCAAAATTCCTCTGAAACATTATACAGATATCCATATTATGTACCTTACACATATCCTGATTACTTTTCTCAGAGTCTCCATCAAGTTCTGCCTCCATGTCTTTCTCCGTTTTGATCTGTTTGCTATCCTTGAGTTGTTGGGAATGTCTGGGTTTGCGCTTCCTTGATCCTGTGGGCAGCGTTGCTGATGGAGAAATTTCTGTACTATCCACTGTATCGCCCATCAGGATATCAACACCTCTATTCTCATTCTCTTCATTGTCCTCATCAGTCTGTTGTAACTCTTTCCTCTTCCTCCCACGTTTCTTTCCAGAATGGTTAGAACTGACAGGTACTTTAAAGTCTCCCCTGTTTGCCACCTCCTTGTTTTGTTCTTTGAATTCCTTCCCCATTTCATAGGCATATTCTGTGTAAAGCTGGATCAGTTTATCAGTGGAGCACTCCATCTGATTTAGAGTAAGATGTGGGTCCATTGTTGCACTTGTATTGGTGTCACCCTCCCGATGTGACAGATACAGTGGTAATCGCAATTCCCTGTAGCAAAGGGACAAGATATATGCAGACAATGTGAGCTCAAATACATTTCATATTAAAAAATCCATATTAAATCATGAATACTTTATCTTATAACTGTACATTACAAAGTCTCTCACATTAGTTACGAGCGCATACTGGTATTCATTTAATCACAAATTTAATTGAACAGGTGTGTATTACCTTCCAAATGTTAAATAGCTTGGCGTGTACTCAGCTTGTCTTCCTCTAGATATACGCAGAGGCAGAAGGGCAAACTCCAAACATTTATCCCAACATACATTATTCTCTATAAAACTAACAAGTCTGTCTTCTACTTCATTCCACTGTGAAGCTGCAAGACACAAAAAGCAAAAACCCAGTGGCTAACATAATGAGAAAGGATGTATCTGACCAGGAAATTAGAAATAAATTATATTCCTCAAAGTCAAATGATAGTCAATGGAATTACCATATAACTTAACACAAAAAGAAATCATAACTTATTAAGGTTGTAACAATACAGCAATACACAAACTGCAAGTCACCACTTCTATAGTAATACGCAGGTAGTACCTCAAAATAGGGACTAAAAATTTGGTAGTTGCTGCAATTAAAATTCAGTCTTTTCTGTTCATGAAAACATACAGAATAGGACAGACATGATATTCTCAGAAAGCAATCATAGCATGTCAGAAGATCTGTCATTGTGCATTAATACTATATGTCTTTGAAGGTCTTTGCCGACAAAATTCAGAAAGAGCCTACCGGTAATTATATAATTATTTTGACCGTACAAAACCTACCACAATTGTCACTTTATCAAAAATAAAATAATGGTATTAATATTCACCCAACAGCAAAATAACTAATTCTATAGGTTATGCAGTACTGATGTGATAGTAAAATCAGACAAGTTAGTCACCTATATAACTCACTTGAATTCCAAACAGTTGAACTTTGATGTATAACAATGTCAAAAAGGCCCTGATCCTTTAAGATTCTAGTCAATGGTTGGCATTCTGTCATGGAGCATGATCCACTGTTCTTTATACTCACATTCTGCATCATTCCAAATCTACAAATTAGGACAAATTGAAAAGATCCAATTCACTCTGGCTTCATTTCTGCATACGACAAATTTTACCATATTCAAGTATATTTCTCATAGTTATTTAATAGGTATAAGCTGCTAACTTTATCTTTTCTTATTTTTCTTTTGAAAATTCACAACCTGACAAAAATAGCAAATTTTTGCATCAAAGTAATAGATGTATACCTTGGTATATATACAAAAATATTGTATGTTTACTTATTGATACTACACTCTAAAATTAGGAAAATCTCAGCAGTGGTATCATACACAAAGATTTTTTTTTAAATCCACTTACCTACAGATCCAGTTGATAACAAGGTGTGTTATATCTGCAGGCGTCACCTTATCCACAACATATGCTTCTGGCCAACCAGAGTATACATCCATGAAAACAACCACATACCGACTACCGTTCTGACACTTGTGTGGTCCTAAAACAGAGAGCTCCACCTACAAATTATCATTCAGATATTAGAAAAGGCGAATTTTTGACAAACAGAACATGTTCTGAATGAATGTCCAACAAACAATATTGGCTATTAAAAATTTCACTGTTTACAGATGATTCCTAGAACATAAACACTTCTTCTGTGATTAATGACACCGCACCAAGGCATACGTTCCCTAAGCCCTTTGTGCCTGAAGAGCTAAAAACAAACGCTGAACCATAGTGTAAGCTAACTTGGCCCTTTCGACAACTGGCATCCTAATTAAAGTCTTAAATTAGGAATACACTGACCGTCAAAATTGTTTCTGTTTGTGTGACAACATGAATTTTCAGCTATTATATTATGGTCTTTTTCTCTTCTTTGAAGAAGCTTATTTTCTCATTTTCAGGAATGTGCAATAAACATTTGTTTTAATTGATCACTCAGAAAATATAGACATTTAACAATTTTAGTGTAACAAAAAATCCTTGATATCAATTACTTGGCCATATCAAAATGTAACTGTAGTGTATCTATATTATGTATATTATGTATTCTAATTCATTTCTGAAGTGGACGAAATATACTGACAGACTAGACCCTCATCCATGAATATTTGTTGTAATTACTGTAAACAACATCATTTGTAAGCAGTCTATATAACAGTTCTAAACTGATAATTGGAACTGATTTGTAGCGAAATTTGCCTTACCACTTCCCCAAATGCCACAGGTTCTAATGGAGTCTGCCATTCTGATTTGACCAAGTCGTCAGCTACATCAGAGGAAGTGGATAAATAGGATGACGACAATGATGAAGCTGTCTCCACATCATGAAATTCATCTTCCTCCTTAGCTATATGGGTTATTTGTGCTCTATAAAGTTCATAGGCCTGGCTCTGGGCCAGTCTGTTGGCACAACAAACCTTGCATGACCTGGCATACTCTCTCACCATGTTGGACACACCCACCCAATAGTACTTCTTGTTGATGAGGTTTGTAGCCTTTTCTCGACCCAAATGCACACCTGTAATTGATGAAATAACAAACAATGCAGATCTCAATGACAAACTTACTTGGCTTCTATAACAACTAAATGCTAAAGACAGAAAGCTGAAAAACATGTTTTCGATAATATTTTTGTGACTTTTTGAAAATATTTAATTTGTGGTCAAGAGATCAGCATTTGTATTGAATAAAGGAATATTATTTAAATTTTAAAGGAAAATTTACAAAGGAAAAATAACAAAATTTCTAATCAAGTGAATAGAAATGTTTAAATTATCTCCTTAAAAATAAGGAAAGGAAATTTTGAAATGATCTTGGATAATTTTCAGTATGAAAATAAATTCTTTTCAGAATAAAAAGTTGTGCCATACAGCCTTATCTCCCTCTAAATGAAGGATATAAAGTAGTACTGGGTATGAATGAATTTGCTCATTGACAAAAAATTGTTTTAAAAAATCTTTGTTTCCTCTAGAGACACTTAAACTTATTTGTTTTCATCTTTTATATGAAGTACTGTATAAAACAAGTTTTAATACAGTTTCTGTGAGCCAGTACAAATTCAAACATGTACAAGGCCTACATGTCCCTGATATAGCTGATAAAATTATTTGTGAAAAAAGAGAAAAATTTTACAAAAAGATAGTTTGAGAAAAAAAAACGTTGAGTAAATGGTTCAGTAGGAGTTATGATATGAATTACACACAAGTACATCTCTGCATAAACCCCTCTCCTATCTCCAATCCTGCCAGTCTAACAGTAATAAAGGGTTTATATAAAAAAAATTAATGTTTTATTGATAAAAGTCAACTTTAACTGTAACTGCCCAAGCACAATCTTGCCATACTTACATATTTTGGACGATATGTAAATGTACTATCAATTTATGCATGGCATGAAATGGGAAGTCTTGTTTATTTCATCTATTGCTTGATGCCTGTCATATTGATCTTGAATCTTGAATTACCCAAGACCAGAGCATAAATATGATGGCAGTGATTTGGGTATTTTTACGGGGTATTTAAATAGCTGAGTGTTTATTCATAACAAACAATCATTAATTTTTGTAGAATTTTTTAGGGCGAGTCCATGACCACAGCACCATTTCCCAAATTTGTATCAGTCCAGTTAAGGAGTCCCATAGTAAAGACAGGAGTACAGGACTCAAATATTGGAGTCCAAAAAATCCTTGATAACTATTGTGAAACACCAACTAGTCTAAAGGAGATCACTACCTTACCGACATAAGGTTGTTATTGCTGAAGTATACTAGTGGATAGAATTTCACTGACAGCTGGTCATGGTAGTCAAACGTTTTAATTTATTTTGACTTCATCTAGTTTATAATTAGCATAACATACCTACTTTAACATTGTTAACCTTTTAATTCAAACCTTATCTATTAAAGTTTTAGTGATACAATGAATAATTTATTTTGATATAAACATGTGCTTTATTTATTTCAGTGTTTGACATATGAATAATCTAGTACTGAACTGTATATAAGCTACAGTACATATGTTCCTTCTGCAAGGCGTCCATTGATATGTTAAGTGTACACGTACGCGTGCAATGTCCACTATCTGTATTTTTATTCATTGTTATTTATACAACAAACGATTTACGCATGTCTCAGTTATCATACACGACACAGACTCCGACCACCCAACGGTGTCGAAGGCCCGGTCCTTATAAACCGATAGAAGGGTGGAATATTTTGTCTGCCATCACCGAAGAGGGTAAATCGGACCCCTGGTTAAATTGGACCATGTCAACAACAGAGCATGTTAGGTAGATATGTACCTGTTGAATCTACATGTGCTTCGGCAATGACCTCCAGACGTTGTTCCTCGGTGAGAAGAACCAATCGATCATTTTTTTCTGACACTACATCACCTTTACTTTCAGTTTGATTCGTCAAATAATAAAGATTTTCGCCATCCAGTCTGAAACTCTTCGAGCGTTTTCGCAGGCTTCTTTTTTCACCTTCAGAAACATCTTTCGGGTATTTTCCATGCTTTATGTACTCTATAACATTTGCAAAGTCGCATATGCCACGACCAGTTCGTCGTGTCCGTTTCATATTTCTAGAGAAGGTCGGTCAAAACAAATTCTTCACAAATGTCATTCACACCGCCATTTCCGGAAACACCACGAGAAAACTGCCCGGATAATATGTCCTGCTAGCCTGATTCATACAAAATACGAAATATTTATAGGATGTGGAACGCAACCTAGTGTATTCTCATACAATGATTCATTAAAGTTAGCTACAAATGATAATTTACTTCGTTTTAGAAGAAAACAATTTTGTTCAGTTATATTAATTATTAACCCCAATCACGCTAAACTTCCACAATGTTCTCATGAGAGAAAAAAAAATTGAACTAATATGCCATCGATTATTTTGTAAGCCCGTAATAAAGACAAGTATAACGTTAGTCCTTAGTATCGTTTTATAAATTTATATATCAAATGAAAACTCAAGTAAGATCACATTTTAAATCAACTTTTACATGAAATAATCGCACTTCAATTTCTTTTACAAGTAATCTACTTATGTACAGCGACCGACTTTTCTAGAAATCTAAGCCGTCGGTGCTGTTTACCTGCTCCCATCATAATCAAACAAGATACATTTTGTGTATATACCTGCCGTATAGATAATCGATACGTATTACAGCAATATCCCTGCAACTTATCACATTTGATGTAAGTTTAATTCCGGATAGATTTGTTCGATAGTGACTGAAGATTTCATGAGGCGTATTGTGTCATTTTCAAATATACTCGCATTCCAAACGTAGTTTTTCGGTGTGTAACATATTCATAAGATATAGACGGTAAATCAAAGAAGCGTTTTATTGTAATCTGGTCAACGAAAAAAACCCAGTGACTTAGACATTTATAGTTATGATGTGAAAGATTCACCTGATTTGAACATATGACAATTACTTTTGTAGACCGAACACGTTAGATTTGAATAGTGGCGTCAACAAAACGCTTGCCTTTCTGGAACACCTGTACTTTTTCACGGACATCAGTGTAAATCCTTCATTTGTTCATGTCTTGTCCTCTTCTTTGACACTTTTGACAAACTCACAACACATAGTTTTGGGATATGCACGACGTTGATGAGGAATATGGGGAAGTTTTAGGTCGTCATATTGATATCATTGAGAAATATTATAGATCTTTTACTTGATTTGGAGCTTGACGTGTTTGATGCTCGTTAGTTTGCTTGTTATTCCGTTATTGTTTATATTGTTCTCATTTGGGAGCATAACATTACATACTTGGATTGGCTAAGATTCACATGCTGTCGATGAAGCAGAAGACGCTTACCCTTTCGGAACACGTACACTTATTCTCTAGTACTTTTCCATGGGTCTTTGTGTAAATCTTTCTTTTGCTCTTACTTTGCGAAAGTTTCATCGAATGTGTATGTGCATTAAGATTATCTTAATAATATGTTGTTTTTCTTTCTGTTTTTCTCTTTCTTTCTTTTGAAGTAGAAAGGAAACAAGAAAAATAATATAAAAATAAACAGTACTTCATACATCAATGTAGTCAGGAGCATTGACGTAGCCTGGATATATGAGAAAATAGTATAAAAGTAGCCAGGCTATTGAAAATATTTTTTTCTGAAATCCTGGCCGCATGATGCAGTGTAATTCATTGTTTGGCTCTACTGTGTATAACTATAAATTTGTTTGAAACGTGTTATTCACTTAAATGTCTTGTGTACAATATTGTATTTCGTTGTGATATTTGAGAAAATTGTAATGATTAGCAAATAAGGAAAATACGTTTTATATTCATAGGAAATCAGTTTATTTATTGTGTTAAATGCACTACATCATAGTAGTACCTGAAACACAAAAAAGAGAAGAAAGTGAGTGAAATAAGAAACATTCAAATACATTCTGGTTATAAATAAGTTAATTAGTAGTATTTATTTGATATAACAACATCAAACTACAGAACATTTTTAAATATGCACCAGTAACGAGTTTTTTTATATATATAGAATACCTCCACCCGGAAAGGTAAAATGAATAATTTGTATTGTAGTCAGATATTAGTTTCTTGATTTTTATCGACCCGTGAACAGCCAGGGTGACTTTCAGGCGGGGTCGGCTTGTACAAGTAGTAAAGGACTACCTTTCTGAATAATATACGGAAGGTGCGTCGCATGAGAATCCTGAGAATCACAATGGGTATAAACGCATAGAATAAAGACACTGTGAGCAAGCCAAAGAAGACAACATTGTTGTTGCTTAAAACATTATTTTCTATATGTGCTAAAATCTAGTAAACACAAAATAGGGGTGAACATGTGGAAAATAAGAAAAATGCAAATTTGTTGTAGGTATGAATGATTTATTAAATCTTATATTTATATCAACATCAAATTACAGAACCTCTGAAAAATATTAATAAATCTAACATGAAAACGGCGGCATCAGCCAGGAGTTTTATCTATGTCCTACACACGAAAAGGAAAATAAATAATTATATCATGTTTGTGATGAAGTTTGTTGCGTTATCGACCCGTGAACAGCCAGGGTGATTTTTCAGGCGGGGTCGCCCTGTAGTAGCAGGTAGCTACCTCTCTGAACAATATATATAAGGCCCGATTCTTGCGATCCAGTGCATTTAGGTAAAAATGTCTTGCCTTTATCCTCTTCATCACAAACCGACGCCAGGTTAGTATAGACGTATAATAAACGACACTGGTAGAGGGTCAAAGAATGCATTATGATTGCGTTTAAAACGTTAATTTTTAGATGATATGATCGGTGATAAAGTATTGATAAACTATGATTAATATTTAAACAATTGATCGATGACAGGGTATCAGTTCATAATCGTTATCAAAAGCAATCTTACACATATTTTCTGTAGTTACTTTATTACAAAGTCTGAAGTAGTCTTCTGGCAGTGACGGCCAAAATTAGAATTTGCCTTCAATACTTTGTATTCCCTTCTCTTCGTACAGAGCCTTTGTTAAAAGAAGTCCATCGAACGTTTCATGCGAGGCGAGGATAGATCCCGCAATCCATGCTGAGCACGGAGCTGCTTTCGTCACGCTTATTCCACTGACTCCAGCCATCTTAGATTTTATTTCGTCCTGCACACGGTCAGCTATTCCGCTGAAAAGAAAATTTTCTCCAGACAATATGATATTGCCATACAGTTCTCTGGCACGATCCTCTCCGTGCTTTGCGCGGACCTTCTCGATGCAGTCTACTATGGTTTGTGGAATACTTCTCGTGTCCAAGTTAGCTATGGTGGGATCTAATAAGATCTCTGGTGCCCTTTGTGCATCTTGGTTTACAGCGATAGAACTTCCGTCAGGAAGTGTATAACTCTTGACTTCAGCAGAGGGGCCCAAGCTACACGTGTTCTTTTTGATTTCGTCAACAGTTTCAAAATCAATTCCGGGATGATTCAGTTTTTGTGCGACAAAGGCTGTGAGTTGGTTACCGGTCAAGTCACTTGACACGACAGAGTCAAGCATTGCGTATCCTTGGTAAATGGCCACACAATTCGATACCCCTGCTCCGGACTCCATCACAACCCCATTCAGCTTCCCCGTACAATACAGGGACAAGACGTTGGTGTAGGCTAAGAAAACAGCTGGCACGTTGAACCTCTCAAACAGGACCTGGACAATTTTCTGTTTGTTAAGTTCCGTATTTGTCATAGGCTGACATAAGAGAATGGTATACTCTTCTGGCTTGACACCCAGTGCTGTAAATGTATTGCGGAGAAGTTGTTCGGCGCCTTCCCAGTTTGTCACAAGTCCCTTTTCGACAGGATACCCGCCATTAAGGACACCCTAATAAAAGAAAACAACCAATGGTAAACGTCACAATTCTGTCTCCGTTAACACACAAAATACGTCTTCTGTTTTTATGAAATCCAAAATATTGTTAACCCTATTGTCATCTTTAAGGGTCATGGCTCATATGAACACTTTGATGCCATCTTGAATATGTTTTATCGTTACGATGAACATAAACTCTTCCTGACTGTTCTGATCATTAAACAAGCAGACACGATACATATATTTCTATATGCTGACAAATCAATGTATGTACTTTGGATCATTACTGAACATCTATTAATGTCATACAATAGTACTGGACATTTTTCCGTTGAGATTTTTTCAGTGATTACAAATGCTTGACAAGACGAAGAGTTCGCCAGAGCGCACCATGGAATTGACTTCAATATACATCTGGTATGTTACGAAGTATAGAAAACAAAGAGAAATGAGAGATCCGATTTCAGTGATATCAAGTTAGACATATCCGCAAAGAATTTAAGTCTTACTAAAGACTGTCAACGACATCCTTTAATATACAGAAAAAATAAAGCAGCTGTGTACAGACTTAAATAATTGACATACAGCACATAAAAAACTCTGAGTAGAAAAAAAGCATTACTAATTTACAGTATCTGACAAAGCAACAACAGAGAGTATTGAAAGATTGTGAAAGAGGACTGTAGAAAAATTACCAATCAGTTGGATTTCTGGATATTTGTAGTTCTTATACTTATTTTGGAAATCCTGACTTACCTTTTGTTGTTTTGCTGTCAGTACACACGTGGGACTGCTATCACCCTTCAGACCTGCCTTGACACTCCCAGTGCCCAAGTCTATCACCACAATTCCCTGGCCAGACATTTCTTCTGAACTTTTTCTGTCTCTCCTGATGCTGTAGGAAGTCGTCGTATGTCTCAAATCAGAAACTAACCTGTATATATACTGATTGAAAACCCCGCGATAAACATTCTGCGTCACCTATATTCTCCATATATGGAAACCGCTAAAACTAGCACGTCACCTGAAGTATATACAGTGATCCCACACTGAGGCGTGATACCAGTCTGAGTTCTTGTAAAGCATGTAACCTTAGATAGTTACAGTTATCAGAATAAACATGTATATAGTGGTGAATTCAAACGCGTAACATGATAACCCTCGATGATGATGATACGATCATAACAGGATTGAGAACGTTCCATATTTTTGTATGGTCTTGACATTGACTAACATGAATAATTACCTTATATAGATTAGTCAGTTAAATGTTATTCCGTCTGATTATTAAATGGGGTAACACATTTAGACTACTTTATTTAGTATAACGAAACAATCATATCCACGTACAATGCTTTATATGACAAAATGTTAGGAGATATATGATATAAGATGTAAAATATCAAAGATACATAACTGCTTTTCTATTCAATCCAATTCAAAGATTTATTTCACAGTTCTAATTACATAGACAATTTGACTGTAATACATACAAGTATTCACAATAGTTTTGCAGCAGTAGAAAACTACATTATGCTTTATTGAAAAGCCCACATGTATCGTGACTGTTTTTAATAGATAACCTCTTCGTATCATATTGTTATTAGTTGATAAATGGTAACAAGATTATCATCTTTTGTCACATTAAGTTTCATATCGTCGAGACACATTTCTCTTCAAAAAGATATTGATTTTAAAAATGACGTTTCGTTAGAGTCATTACAATTTTTTACAAACTTTTAATTGTTTTGGTATAAAACTTTTTACGATCATGGGCTAGTTCCAAGTCATGCGAAGTTCAAATTTAGTATATAGTCGTTTTAGATTATTATTAGTACATAAACATAAAGTTTTTTCCAAGTCATTTATTTCACAAGTTAGCATCAATTATAGCAGTATGCCAACAATAAATGTTATTACTATACAAGTGTTTATTCCAAGTTTGTTTTTCTTTACCAATCATAGTTATCGACAGGTTCTTTTTTAATCAGAGTTACAGACATGTCACTTTTTAATCAGAGTAACAGACATGTCACTTTTTAATCAGAGTAACAGACATGTCACTTTTTAATCAGAGTAACAGACATGTCACTTTTTAATCAGAGTAACAGACATGTCACTTTTTAATCAGAGTAACAGACATGTCACTTTTTAATCAGAGTAACAGACATGTCACTTTTTAATCAGAGTAACAGACATGTTACTTTTTAATCAGAGTTACAGACATGTTACTTTTTAATCAGAGTAACATCCATGTTACTTTTTTATTAGAGGTATAGACAGATTATTTTTTGATAAGAGTGATAGACAGGTTCTTTTTTAATTAAAGTTATAGAATTTTTCTTTTTTAATCAGTGCTAAAGACAGATTGTTTTTGAGATTATAGAAAGTAACAACAAATTGAATATCAATAGGATGTTGTTCTAGTTCACCACTCGATACAAAATAGAAAAATGTATTACTTTTCTTCCAACTTCCATAGTTTGATAACAAACATTGAAATGTTCTTCCTCGTGTGGCTACAGAATAGTTAATACAACCTTAATTACCGCACACTTCTTTTGAGGGTGAGGGGAGGGTGATGGGGGCATGTCTTGTTTGATTTCGGCTGTGAATCAAATTGTTGCATTGTAGATCAAAACATACAACAATATAATAAATACACATTGAAACAATGATCATTTGCAGTATTTGTTTTAAGTAGCCATCTTCAATGTTAATTCATGACTCAGAAACACAATGAATTTAGAGTGATTATATAAAATCACGGAAATATTAAATAAATATTATGTTAAATACATTTCATTACAGGGTCGTGCACAATCTAAACACAAGAAATGTATTTACTGAGTGCAGTAACACTAGACTATGATTGTTTCGTTATACTATATAGTGTATGCTAAAGGTGTTACCCCCAATGATTAACCAACCGGATTAATATTTAACTACCTGGTCTATACAAGGTAATTATTTTCTAGAATTAATAAAAAGACCACGCAGGACATTTTCACATGTTTGCATGAATTTCCTATCCAATATCCTATTATTTTCATTATCATCATTATTTTATTATATTATTATTATAGCCTACATAAATATATATGGACCGTGGGTTAGAAATTCGTCCCAATGGACGTTCTCTATCTTGTTCCCCTACCATTAGAATGCTACGCATTTAGATTCACCACTGTATACATGCTTATTCTGATAACTGTACCTATTTTAGGTTACGTCCTATATTTTCTTGATCCAAAATGATTTTACGCCTTTAACTCATCTTCACATTAGCAGTACGTGAACACTGTATATACTTCAGGTGACGTGCTATATTTTGATCGCTTGTATTCAGCGGTTTCCATATATGGAGAATATAGGTGACGCAGAATGTTTATCGCGGGGTTTTCAATCAGTATATATACAGGTTAGTTTCTGATTTGAGACATACGACGACTTCCTACAGCATCAGGAGGGACAGGAAAAGTTCAGAAGAAATGTCTGGCCAGGGAATTGTGGTGATAGACTTGGGCACTGGGAGTGTCAAGGCAGGTCTGAAGGGTGATAGCAGTCCCACGTGTGTACTGACAGCAAAACAACAAAAGGTAAGTCAGGATTTCCAAAATAAGTATAAGAACTACAAATATCCAGAAATCCAACTGATTGGTATTTTCAATACTCTCTGTTGTTGCTTTGTCAGATACTGTAAATTAGTAATACCTTTTTCTACTAAGAGTGTTTTATGTGCTGTATGTCAATTATTTAAGTCTGTACACAATTGCTTTATTTTTTCTGTATATTAAAGGATGTCGTTTAAAGTCTTTAGTAAGACTTGGATTCTTTGCAGATATGTCTAACTTAATATCACTGAAATCGGATCTCTCATTTCTTTTTGTTTTCTGTACTTCGTAACATACCAGATGTATATTGATGTCAATTCCATGATGCGATCTGGGGAACTCTTTGTCTTGTCAAGCATTTGTAATCACTGAAAAAATCTCAACGGAAAAATGTCCAGTACTATTGTATGACATTAATAGATGTTCAGTAATGATCCAAAGTACATACATTGATTTGTCAGCATATAGAAATATATGTATCGTGTCTGCTTGTTTAATGATCAGAACAGTCAGGAAGAGTTTATGTTCATCGTAACGATAAAACATATTCAAGATAGCATCAACGTGTTCATATGAGCCATGACCCATAAGATGACAATAGGGTTAACAATATTTTAGATTTCATAAAAACAGAAGACGTATTTTGTGTGTTAACGGAGACAGAATTGTGACGTTTACCATTGGTTGTTTTCTTTTATTAGGGTGTCATTAATGGCGGGTATCCTGTCGAAAAGGGACTTGTGACAAACTGGGAAGGCGCCGAACAACTTCTCCGCAATACATTTACAGCACTGGGTGTCAAGCCAGAAGAGTATGCCATTCTCTTAAGTCAGCCTATGACAAATACGGAACTTAACAAACAGAAAATTGTCCAGGTCCTGTTTGAGAGATTCAACGTGCCAGCTGTTTTCTTAGCCTACACCAACGTCTTGTCCCTGTATTGTACGGGGAAGCTGAATGGGGTTGTGATGGAGTCCGGAGCAGGGGTATCGAATTGTGTGGCCATTTACCAAGGATACGCAATGCTTGACTCTGTCGTGTCAAGTGACTTGACCGGTAACCAACTCACAGCCTTTGTCGCACAAAAACTGAATCATCCCGGAATTGATTTTGAAACTGTTGACGAAATCAAAAAGAACACGTGTAGCTTGGGCCCCTCTGCTGAAGTCAAAAGTTATACACTTCCTGACGGAAGTTCTATCGCTGTAAACCAAGATGCACAAAGGGCACCAGAGATCTTGTTAGATCCCACCATAGCTAACTTGGACACGAGAAGTATTCCACAAACCATAGTAGACTGCATCGAGAAAGTCCGCGCAAAGCACGGAGAGGATCGTGCCAGAGAACTGTATGGCAATATCATATTGTCTGGAGAAAATTTTCTATTCAGCGGAATAGCTGACCGTGTGCAGGACGAAATAAAATCTAAGATGGCTGGAGTCAGTGGAATAAGCGTGACGAAAGCAACACCGTGCTCAGCATGGATTGGGGGATCTATCCTCGCCTCGCATGAAGCGTTCGATGGACTTCTTTTAACTAAGGCTCAGTACGAAGAGAAGGGAATACAAAGTATTGAAGGCAAATTCTAATTTTGGCCGTCACTGCCAGAAGACTACTTCAGACTTTGTAATAAAGTAACTACAGAAAATATGTGTAAGATTGCTTTTGATAACGATTATGAACTGATACCCTGTCATCGATCAATGGTTCAAATATTAATTATAGTTTATCAATACTTTATCATCGATCTTATCATATAAAAATTAACGTTTTAAACGCAATCATAATGCATTCTTTGACCCTCTACCAGTGTCGTTTATTATACGTCTATACTAACCTGGCGTCGGTTTGTGATTCTCATGGAGATGATAAAGGAACCGCTCTGTACTGTCGTGGCTGTGTTCTTGAGCAAGGCATTTTTCCTAAATGCGTTATATAAACATGATATGAGTTATTTATTTCCCTTTTCATGTGTAGGACATGGATAAAACTCCTTGCTGATGCCGCCGTTTAATGTTAGATTTATTCATATTTTTCAGAGGTTCTGTAATTTGATGTTGATATAAATATAAGTTTCAATAAATCATTCATACCTACAACAAACTTGCATTTTTCTTATTTTCCACATGTTCATCCCTATCTTGCGTTTCCTGGCACGCTACAGTGCTTCCAATACAATAATCTGATTTTCTGTAGAATATGAACTGTATTGGCTACATGTTGTGTCAAAATTCAAAATTGTACAAAAGACACAAATTCAGAGTTCTTGTAGTAGGGCTAAACAATAAATTACACTACGTAATATAGCTAGGTTTTCACTATATCTATACTATTATTCTCATATATCCTGGCTACATTAA